GGAAAGAGTAAAACAGCAGGGTACAGTCTGCATAAATCCCTCTCTCTGCTCTTTCAAGCAGGTTAAAGGCTTTTTAGGTGTGAATAAGCAGGCTCAGGAAAATCTTCCTGACTAAGAGAAGCGAGCTTGCACTCCTTGGAATGCAGTCGGGCACCATATTACTGAAAATTTTAGCTTTTTTAAATTTAGGTAGTTCAAGAACATGAATTCCTAGCGTACAAGTTTGTCAGCTTAAGCAGCTAATGAGACACTAGTGAGCCCAGAAGACAGTTCTTGTAGCTTGTATGTTGAAAGAAATCAGAATCTGGGATGTCCTTTGCCAGAGAGGTGAATTCATTTTGTAGCTAGTCCCAAGAACTGGGACGGTGGGAGCTGTCTTTAGTTTGTATTTCTGTGTCTTGGAAATGGGTCAAACCTGAAAGTACTAACTTTTTTTGTCGTTGTTATATCTGCCAGGAGATAATTGACTGCTTTTTAAAATGTTGAGGGTAACGTGATACTTTTGTGCTGTCAACTCTAACGTCCTTTCCCTATTTCCTTTGCCCTGCTGTGGGCAGCAAGGAGGGAGAAGTACTTCTCTATTACTGTTACTGTGAGGTAAAGGATCCAGAGAAACTCTGTGCTTGGCAAAAGGCTCTGTGCCAACATCTCCACCTGACTGGCAAGGTAAGGCTTTAAGCAATACTTGTATTTTTTACAGAAGAGCATCATCTTTGCTTAGTGCAGGATGATGTGTCACGTGGACAGCCAAGTTGTAACCTGTGCTGTCAGATGAGAAGAACAGAATAGCTGACACCTTGGATCAAACCACAGGATAGCACCACTCATTCCTGCACAGCCACTTTGTTCTTTTCGTTCTCTGGAGAGTAGACCCAAGGAGATCAGCTGGCTCACCTGGCTGGTGCCTTGGGACTATGGATGAAGGTGAACCATAGCCTTATGAAACTGATTTTCCTGGGCTGTCTGTGGGGAGAAAGTCTTTTCCAGAGGGTGAGTCAGAGCAGGAAACTACTTCATCTTTGACTTTCTTGTGAAGGAGCCTCTCTTTCTGTGCCAATGGTGGGAGACTGGCTTCTGTAACCTAAATTTAACCGTGTCGTTAGGCTGGAGTCAACCAGCTGCACTGCAGATACTGGCAGACATGTTTACCTTGGCTGGAGCATCTCCGGTTCTGAATCACAGAATTCGTCCTTTTCCTCCTCTCTGATTTTCAGTTCCCAGAATCTTTTCTCTAATGCCTGCTATGTTGTTTGTGTTTCTTATTTTCAGGCCTCTAGTTCCTCTTCTGACTTTTGTGGGAGGGGTTGTATTCTGAGCATTCGTATTGGCCACTTGCAGCCTAGCTCCGTAGAAATTATTTGTATGGGCTGCGTCTGAATCTTCTGGTACAGGATGGACTGTGCCATCAAAGCATTGTTCTTTGTCTCTTTCCAAAAGTTCATATCATTCTTTTTGCTTCTTTTTGTTGTATTTTTTACTTTTCTGTATCCCGAGAGTTGGGACAGAAATTTCTCATGATATTCTAACTCAGCTAACAATTATGCATCTTGTCTGTGACTTTTCCCCGGAGCTGGTGCTGTTTAAAGTGAAACAGATTCAGTGTTCTGCATGTGCAAAGTCAGCCTTCCTTATTCAGAAGGAAAGAAAGGAAGGCATCTTCCTTAGTCTGCTTCTGTGCAGGTCTGAGGGTAAAATGTCCTAATGTCCTAATACATTAACTTCTTTACTACTTTTTTTTTTCTCCCCTCAGCTATCTTACCTGGTGGGTTCCCTCCCTCCCCCTCCCCCCCAAGACAGGTGCAGCATTTGCCTTTCCAACCAGTTACTTTTTCTTTACTCCCTTTAATTCAGTCACTTTTTTCCACCATCTCAGATATTTTCTTTGTTTCTGTCAGTGCTGTAGATAAAATGACTCAGATTGGGATTTAATATTATGTGCAATATTACACATAGTCACATTTTCCTTCTAGCTACCTGAGTGACTACGCACAATGCCATTGTTCTTCCATGGACAAAGCTTCTGTGGGAATTGTAACACTGACTGCAAGATTTTCCTGTTAGCCAGTCGTCATTTCTCTGCTTATTGCACAATTTTTTCTGACTTTCTTGCTGTTTTTCCTATGGAACGGCCTGAAAGTGATGACTGAATGTTTATTCCCGTTTTTCTTTTATTATATTTTTTTTCTGCTCAACTTTGTTATAACTGTCTTCCATTCCTTCCTTCTTCAGTTGTCTCTTTTGTGAGCCTATTTCTGTGTCTGCCTTTTGTTACTTGGTCGTATTTTGCTAATCTTACTGTGATCTGTTTTTGCTGTTATCAGACCTTAACCCTAGCTTCTCCTCCTGGCTGCCAGGTACGAGTTGCTTCAGAGGGAATTAATGGAACAGTTGGCGGAAGCAAAGTAGCTACTAATCTCTACATTGAAGTTATGCTCGCCCAGCCGCTATTCAAAGACCTTTTGTGTCGAGATGATTTCAAGGTATGAGAAAACAATTTTTGTGTAGACGTTGCTAATGCAGGGTGCTTAATCTTTAAGCCTGTTGCTTCTTGATAGTACCCCTCTGCTGCTTGAGAGAAATTGCATAAAACTCTAGCACTTCTGTTCTCCCACTGCTGATCTAAGGTGGGGATTCCTAAACTTTGTTTAGGTCTCTCTTCTACTGAAAGCAGCAGTGGCAGTTAGCAGCAGGAGCTACAAGCTTTGGCAGCTATGAGTATGGCTGCAAAGCCATGCAGGCTGCACGCGGGTGAAGGAGGAAGCATGCTCTAGCTCCACTATTTGTTATCAGATCTTTACTCCAACCTGACTGCTGAAATCTAAGCATCACTATTTATGCTTATCTCTGCAGAATCTTCCTGTGTTTTCCTCTTCACTCTGTTTTGAGATCCTGTCCTAGAAGCCCACTGGTTTAGGTTCATGCAGGCTTTGGTGTCCTTAGCGATGTGCTGTCGATTCCAAGAATCAGAAGTTTTCTAAAGAAGATACACAGTTTAGAGTCAAGAGGTTTCTCCCTACTCTTAAGTTAATGCCTGACTGGAAGGAGAGTCAGGTGCTAACTTTTGCCTGTCTCTGAGCGTATGTGCTGATTGCTGTCTTCAGATGGTGACAGCAGGTGCAGGTGGCACTGTATGATATTCTGGTGGGCTTTCGTTTCTCCAGCACTATGGGTACCGCATTCTCTGAGGGGAAAAAAATGCTTCTTTTATTCGTATCGTGGTCTTTCAGACACTTTTATTTGTAGGAAATATTACTTCATTTTCCATAAATAACCAAATCAAAGGGAGTTAGCGAAGCTCATGAAGCTAAAATCCCTCTATAGAACTGCAGTGCTGATTCAGTCTTAGCTCTTTAACTGTCTGCTGTGCTTGGCTGAAGGTAATCCAGCCTGTTAGTTAACGGTGATGTGCAGATGCGAAGATGAAACGGGGATGGACTTTTATCTGAGCCTTGGCAGAATCTCCAACCCTGCATCATCTCTCTGGGCACCAACGCTGATACGTTAGTACATGGTATTATTTTCTGTCTCACAGTTATTCTGCATACTGTATATGCAAGTAAGTGAGGTTTCAGGTTCCCGTGCCCAAAGGACAGGGTGGGTAGAGGAGTGAAAAATGAGCCTTGAACTTGGAAAATATACAACGGCCACTGTAGTTGCTGCAAATTGACTTTAGTGAGAGCTGGACCAGTGCTGCACAGCATTGCACTCTCCTATGTGTTTATGTGTTCAGTGGTGCCAAAGTCATGTCTGAGGCTTGGCCCTACAGAAATTCTTGCTTCCTATCCCCTGCAGTGATGGTGCTTGCTAAAAAGGCATTGCCAAGGCCCCCAAAGAGGAGGATCCTGTGCACGAGCTTGCGGGGATCAGGAGCCGCAGTTTTAAAATTTTAAACCTGGCTGACATCCCTTGTGTCTGTTTTAAGCCCGTGAACCAGTGCTGTTCCCTTCACACGTATAATGACAAGAGGCCTAGCTGTCCTTTGTGTCAGGGATCAGAAGGGCTGAAGAGAACTGCAGAGCCCAGATGTGTCAGCAGGATCAGTTACTGGAAGGGATTGTATGTTTATATGATATATAGATGTATTTGTGAGATATATGTTTAAGGGGATGATTTTTTCATGAGAGGTGCTAATGACATTGCTTCTAAATAAGAAGCATCAGTTCTCTAGGTCTGCTCACTCCTTTGTGACTCTGCTGGGACTGGACCTGATGCCAAATAGTGCCTGTCTCACCTACTGAATAGTTACTGGGCCAAAGACTCTGTCTGTTGGGTCATGGTAAGGGGCCACTCCCTGACCGCTGGATTTAAGACGAGTGATTTTGGCAGGAGAGACGTCTCTTTGTCTCAGACACTGAGATCCTTTCATATTCTATTGAAGACTTAGAAAACAGAAGTGGACTGGACTGTATTTGAGTGGATAATCATGATCTTGATGGCTGGAACGTTTCAACAGATTAGTTTTGTGTTTAATGTCCTAGAGCAGTGCAGGAGGAGCTCACTGTTTTCCAGACCTTCGAGTTGGAGTATTTGAAGAAATTGTACCTATGGGCATTGATCCAAAAAAAGTGTCTTATAAAGAAACTGGTAAGTTGATTTGAAAAATAAAGCCTCTCACTTGGGTGAGAGGTGAGTGAAAGTGAAGTACCTTCAGCAAAAACATTTTCTTCTGCCCAGTGGCCAGGACATGGGAGAAGCAGATAATGGAAACTGATCTGTTGTTGGTAGTCAGAGTTACTGGTGCAAAGAATTTGCTGGCCCGGGTTATAGGTTACTAAATGTTTAGCTGCTTTGAAAAGTTCAGAGTTAACCATCTGTTTTGTGCCAAACTGCAATAGTTCACGTGACATCAGCAAGGTAAACTACCTTGTTTGGGGGTAACAGTGGCATGCTTCAAGTAGTGAATATGTCATAGGGCACCTGCTAAAGGCCAGGCCAAATTATGTGTAACGATTAAGAAAGACATTTCAAAGCAAGAGTATACCTTAATATTCTAAATATTCTGTTCATGCTTGAGACAGCTCAGAAATGATACTGTATTGAGAGCTGCAGTGCTCTGTCATTGTGGTTATCCTGCATGAAGAAGCAAGCTGATTGGGAAGTGCTTCCCTTGGAGTCTTCTGGTGTATCCAGGGGATTCTGGAGTTCTTCTCCATTATTTGGTAGTTTGGGGGAGGGTTTTTTTCCTCCTCTTTTTTTTTTTTTTTTTCCCTCCCCTATATTTTTCAGCAGTTTGTGAAGGTGGTTCCCATTATTTTGACTGTGGGGTTATTTTTTAAAATAAGATAAGGGGGGGTTGATGGGGGATGTTATTTGTTTCTCAGCAGGCTGGGAGTACTAAGTCCTGAACCTGGTCATAGTTAATCCTGCTTTGAGCAAGGGGTTTGACTAGAGATCTGCCGAGGTCCCCACCAGCTTGAATTGTTCTGTGGCCCTAGTTTTCCACTGAGACTTTCTGAGAGAGATTTGCCCGTGCTGGGATGAGTGACAGAAATTAGAACGGGCAGAATATTTAGGCCAATTTCACTGCAGCATACAGTGCATCATTTGTCTGCATGCAGTCTCATTTAATGTCTTGGTACTTTCCAGGCACAGAGAGATCAATATTAAGAGAGCACAGTCTTGTAGCTGTGTTGTCCAAGCTGCTTTGGCATTATGGTTTACTCTGCTTTCTAGAGAAATTTGCGGTCTTGAGTGAGACACCTAAATTAATGTGGAATGAAATACAGAGGCAGAGAAGTGACTTCTGTCCTTCAGTAACGGAACTGGATATGCACCTTTGTCAAGGAATGCCCTCCCTCTGCAGTGGATCCAGTACTCTGAACACTGGCTTCTGGCAGTTTAGCTCCTTAATACCTTTATGGCAGGGATTTCTCCTGGAGAGAACAATGTCTAATTACTTCAGTGCAGGTGTGAAATTTCTCACCTGTTTTACTTCCAAGATTAATTAACATTTATTGCTCGTATAAGACTAATCCTGCAGCTCACAATTGTCATCGCAGTGTCAGGAAAACCAGGTTAAGTTCTCTCTCCAGGGAATATTTCATTATTTCTTCAGATTGAAGCAAGTCTGGCACAAGATGGAAGAACTCGTGCTGCAGAACAGGTAGTTCTGTGGCAGGTGGAGCATTTGGCTGAGATATTCAGGCAAGAGCCTGTGGCTTGAATGAGATCATAATGTCAAACATTCCTCTTGTAACATCAAATTCTTTAGCCTCCCCTATGGTTGAGTATTTCCGGAAGTATCAGACCTCATTTCTTTTTCTCAAAAATCAGCAATGGCACTTGCAAGCTGAGAAACTTTATGTAAATTAAAATTGCGCTGAAAGTAGGAAGCAAGCAAAAAAAAGCAAAAAAACAAGCAAAGAGAAGGGAAATATTTTTATCTGTTTTTGTTGTTTTTTAAGAAGTGTAAGGGTTGCTAGGGGGACATAGCAAGGATCATACAGACAGTCTGCTTTTCTTTCTGTCACCTAGAACAGTGTTGCATTGCATTCACCAACAAGAGCCTAAACGTGGATAGACTTGGCTAGTTGAGGTTAGGATGACATGAGAATTGTGTGAGCTGTCACATTTGGAAATCTGAGGAGAATCTAAGTTGGTGAGATCTTCTGTAGTGTTGTATTGTAGCTCTGCTTCTCAAAACTTCTTTTCCTTTCTTTTTTTTTTTTTTTTTTTTTTTTAAGGAATCCATCTATCCCCTCAAGAGTTTCATAGAGAAGTAGAACAATATTTGTCTCAGGCTAATCAAGGACAAAGTGATACTATCTTACTGGACTGTAGAAACTTCTATGAAAGTAAAATAGTAAGTGCGGTTTGTCAGTTTCTTAGTGTGTTACAGGTGCTGGGGAAAGCGCTTCATGTTGTGGGGGTGTGACCCGACTGGGAAGAAGAGTTCCTATTGACTGGAATATGTACGGAGTTCAGCTCAGAAATGCAGATTAAGTTTGAAGCAGCACAGGACTCTGCCCAGTGATCTCGAGCAGAGCCTGCCTGGCTGACTGCTTATACTGCTTGGGGCAGGAAGGAGAGCAAGTGGTCCGTACAACACTAGTAGTGCATAGTATATAGCCTGTAGTAAAAGTGACTTCATTTGTAAAGGTATATCCCAGCATTTTTGCTTTTTCCCATGTCAAAAAAGAGGGCATCCTTCCATCTTCCACCCTCTCTATATTGTCATGGGGGAGGATGAGCCATAACAGTTATGTTCCGCTCAGCTCCCTCCAGATGTTTGGATGAGGAGAAATGCTATGCCTAGAATCCTCTTATGGATTTTAACAGGTATTTTGATGTGTAAATGCTGCAGAGGAACTGCCTAAAGCAGCTGCAGTGCGCTGGATGTTCTGGCCCAAAGGTTTGTTACTTCCTCTAGTTTGAGACACAGGCCTTGGCACGGAAGTCAGCCTGTATTCAGTTGTGTGGCCATCTGTTGTTATTCCAGGGACATTTCCAGGGCTGTCTGGCTCCAGATATCAGGAAATTCAGCTATTTTCCCAGCTATGTAGATGAAAACCTGGAGCTTTTTAAAAACAAGCGTGTCCTGATGTACTGCACAGGAGGGATCCGCTGTGAAAGAGGCTCTGCTTACCTACGGAGCAAGGTGAGATGTCACTGTGAGGGCGCAACTGTCGGGGAGTTGAGACTGCTTTGAGGGCAGCTCTTTTCTCTTGCTGGCAAATTCTTGTGGCGCGTGAACTGCTCAGACTGGGGAGATGAATGTCTCTGATACAGGTTTGCCTTATGCTACCTTTCAAGGACAGAGGTAGTCTAACACAGCTGAGAATGACATGCATGGACTACAATTACAGCAATGATTGCTCTGTGAAAAGTTATATAACCCATTTTGCTGGGAAGAAATACCTGTAAGTCTGCCCTGCCCGTTGTTGTGGTGTTTTAGGAGGGCTTGAAGCTCTGTCTAGGTTATGCTCTGTGGTCGTTACTGCACAGCTTGAGCGTTTCAGAGGGGTGAAGATCAGCCAGTCAGTATTATCCCCGTGGTGTGGAATTAAATCCAGCACATTGCATTGTCCTCGTTCCCCTTTCCATTCCACTCTTTTCCTGGGCCCTTCCCTCACGGAGTAGGGCAACAGCACGGGTATATGTTCTCTAGAAACTTAAACCTTGACCCTTTTTCAGTTGCACCAGTGTGAACCCTGAGAAATTCTGTTCCTGTCAACAGAAGCTCACTGTGTAAGGCCAGAATAAGTATTGGTTCACAGAGATTCCAAAGCATTTTCTTTGTGATGCAGCAAACTTTTCACAGCCAAGGAGATTGTCTGCCCTTTTCCGAACCGTACCGTTAGTGTGCATTTGGGCTCATGTCAACAAGCCAGCGTTGTGAGAGCGGCCCATTAATCTTCCATGATGCTGGCTGGAGTTGTGGGCACACACAGTGCTGTTTGGTCACTGAGAAGCTGCTGCTTCTCCTTGACCTGTGGAGTTTTCAGCATTTGCTTTGGGCACTCTGGCACAGGCCTGCTGCCACTGTCTCACAGAGCTTTTTTGCCAATATGCTTTAAACAGGCAGTGTGCAGAGAGGTTTACCAGCTCAAAGGTGGGATTCACAAGTACCTGGAAGAGTTTCCAGATGGATTCTACAGGGGGAAGCTGTTTGTATTTGACGATCGTTATGCCATTTGTTCCAATGAAGATATCATCTCAGGTAGGACTACATATGTAAGTGCAGAAGGCTGTGACTCTATTGCAAGGGTTGCCATAGAGCTGTCTTTGCCAAAGGAAGCAAATGGGCCTGTGCAGTTCTTTAGCTTACTCACTTGGGGGTCTTAGCGCTGCCACTTTTCATAATGGTCGTCAGGTGTATGGCTTTAGCATCTAAAACAGAAATAAGAGCAAAGGGGTCACTGAACAGAATTCCCTAAAGCTGGGACAATAGAAAGACGCATCCTCTGCAGAACGGCTACTGTAATGAGCCTTCAGCTCCTAAAAAGACGTCGTGCACTACTGCTTTTGTTACACACTTGTTGCCCGTGGTGCGGATCAGACTGGGGTTGGCCAAGTGGCCAAAGCATTAAACGATTCTGCTGTCAGCTGGTCTCCTCCAGTAGTCTCACGGAATACTAGAACAGGCTGCTAGGCTTTGGGAAAGTGGCGGTACTAAACTCTACAGCGCTTAGCTGTTTTGTGCTTTAACAGTTTCTATAGCTTGTAGGATTCCAGTGACCTCTAACTGAAGTTGTTAAGAATATCGCCCTGTCCTCTGGCTGGTAGCTCTTCAGCTATTTTCACTTGCCAGGTACAGATAGAAGGAACTTGGCTCTCGCCCATTTTTCAGGAATCAGTGCTGTGTATGTGCGTGATTTTTTGTTTGTTCTTTTTTTTTCTGAATGGGCGTCGTTGCGAGCATAACCTCCCGTTCCTCTTCTGCATTTACCCTATCCATCTCGAGGGTACCTGGCTTGGCATAGAAATAGAACGTACGCTGCATCACAGCCATCCCTACAGAAGCATCGAAGGGGATGTGTTGGGGCAGGCACCTTCTTGATGGTGCAGCTGAATTGTGAAAAAAGCTTTCTGTTAAAAGTTAAATCCTGCCTGGTGCTGTGGAAGGACTGTACTAGGACCACAAACGACACCCCATACACATAAACCGTTGGTGTCAGATGGCCACGAGTCTCATGGTGTCTCCTTCCCCAGCAGGCAATGTTCCTGGGTGCTGGCTTAGCCACCAGCTTATCTCTTTTGCTCTCTCTGCAGCAAGAATTTGCTGTAAATCTGTCTGATCTGAACTAGAAGAAGCAGCGGTGCGCAGTGTTTCCTTGATAGAGCTTGTCCTGAGAGACAGCTTTTTATATCCAAAACAAAGTTCATTTAAAAATGAGCCAGGTTCTAGAACACCAGGCTAGAGCAGGAGTAAAAGATCTGGAGGATGATGGTTAGCCACTTGAATGAGAGATTGCAGCAAAGGGGGACGAGATGGGGCAACGTGGATCTTAACTTTGCTTCTCCTCCCTCCAGCATGCAGATACTGTGGGACTCTGTGGGACCAATATAAACTTTGTTCCAGCCAGCACTGCCGGCAGCTCGTCCTGACATGCCCAAGTTGTCGCAAGAAAGGGCTTACAGCTTGCTGTCCTGTTTGTCAAGAGAAGGAGCTCAAGGTGACTTCAAGGGCTTCAGGACAGACAATTAAGGAGGAATGTGAATGTACAAAGAGACGGCCAAGGGTACCTATTGAACATATCGCACAAAGCACACTGGACACAGAAAAAGATTAAACTGTTTCTTCAGCTAGTTTCACATTTGATACTTGGGCTAATGGGATGGACTTCTAAAACCAGATCCCTCTCTGTTATTGCAATTAGGTTTGGATATCACCATAATTTGTTGGCTTGGCAAGTCTTGCTCCTACCTTGCACTTAGGTCGAGTACGCCCTGAAAACTGTCCATTACTTGAGTGTAACTTACCAGAGTGGCCGATCCATTACTATTGCTGCAGGATTTTTCTACCTGGGTGCAGTCTTGCACTGTGGCTTCTCTCTTGGGGATTTTGCAGAAGAATGGGTTGGGGACACAGCTGTTCACAATTCAAAAGAAACTGAAGAGACAGAAGAACAATTCCATGCTGTTTCTCCTCTAATTGATTGTTGTGCATGTATGGAGGTGGATTTGTCTTACTTCTCCACTGATTGTGCAGCTTCAATAGCTACTGCTAGGGTGATGAAGACTGCATATGCTTTAATTTCTGGGTGTGTGACCAGATTAGACTTGCTTTTTACTGATGTGAAGCAAGCAACATTTACCATGAAGTCATTGACTTGACTCCCATGTAAAACTACTTAAAGGCAGGGTGAGGACGCCTGCCTTAACTGGAGCAAAGGCTGAGGACGTGCGTTGCCCACAGACGCTGTCTGCCCAGCCTCACTTGTTGTGTACGACCTGTTGGACTAGCAGCAAACGTAACCCTCGTTGTGATGCTCTGCCACCCCGGGAACTGTTGATATCCCTCAGCCTGTCAGTATGTGAAATATCCAGGGCTCAGCTCTGCTTGCACTGGAAAAAAAAATCAACAGCTTGAAGCGTGTTGAAATTGAGACACTCAGAGAGGAGAGCACAGAGACTGCCAAAATACCAGCATTGTGGCACTAGAAGCGAAGTGAAAGCGGGCATCTGTGCATAAACGCCAGCAACAGCTATAAGGAGACTGCCAGATCATTTATCCAAGCTAAATAATCCAAGATTTGGGGAGCATTTGTGCTTTGTAAACATGGGTTGAGCTTTTTTTTAAAAGCTGAGAGATGTTTATGCCATTTCCAGCTTCTGTTAGTGGAGAAATTGTCTCTGACTTTGGAATCCACAGCATAGGAACTCAAAATACTGCCTGCTGCTTTGAGTGCCTGATGCTGTAGAATGTACTGAGAGGCTTTGTTAATAGTGTGGGGGACGTGTCATGACTGAATAAGATCTTTGAAACTTACTCTCATTTTTGGTACTAAATTATTAGTCATTAGGAAATCAAAATCCGTTAACTTTTTTATCATTTTTTTACTGGCAACTGCCTTTAAAGACAAGAAAACAGTTTACTCAGGTTCCTGCAGTTGCTTAGGGTCAGTTAGGGCAGTGTTATTTTAATATACGTTGTAACCTTCTCCCACAGTGCTACGAATTCAGCATGGCCTCGTTGGTGACTTGACTGGCAGATAAGGACAAGGGCATTCATTCCGTTAAAGCCATTGCAAGGCACGTCTTCTTACTTCCAGTGTTGCTGCCATGAACAGCAACGGCTATGTTGCCACCATGTTCAGCAATTGTCTTTGTAACGGTTCCTTTCAAGAAGCAAGAATTTGAAACTAATGAATATCTATTTTGTGGCTCTTTCCAGGATGGCATTTAAAAATAGTAATTCTGAGTGTGATCCAAAGTAGAGAAGCATTTAGAAAACTCCCATCAGCAGACATCTTCAGACAT